GCGCGTTGGCGGGGTGGGGAGGGATGGCAAAAAGTAGAAAATGCATAAACTTCGCGGTGAAAATATTAGACGCAGCAGTAAAGTGGTCCCGGAAAGATACCACGGAGGTTAAATGTACGCCGGGTCAAGCATACCGCAGAATATGGTCGACAATGAAGTTTAAAGTCAGTCTAGGAAGCTGCAGATGAATGCTAGCTTTGTTATTCATACCTTTGAGTCCTAATAGCAGAGGGTGGGGGGCGGGAGGACGACGAAGAATACGGGAATGAGTGCACACAGACCTACTGGTTTCCAGTAAAAAGTTCTATATAAGTGGCAAAGGCCATGAACGGGCAAGCAACTACTAGGCCAAAGTCGACCAAGTTATAATTGCAGAGAGCAGGGGCGATAGAAAATGTGGGTAGATTGATACAATCTGCTTCACGTTTCTTCTGTTTTCATTCAGCCAATCATGATCCTGACTATCAGCTTGGATAAGAAACACAGAGAATCGCTTGTACACGGCGCCAATTGTCCACGATCAGGATCTCACATCTTCTGCAGTCCCTTCCTTCTGCTATTATAATTTGGACAACTTCGGCTCGCTTGCCTGTTCATGACTTTTGTCACCCATTAGGAGTTTTTCTGCTTCAGAAAGCCAGAAAATCAGTGTGCCCACCCTGGATTGGAGTTGACGTTCGTTCCTAATTTCCAGATAGTCATTACTGCTTCCCGTTTCTTCATTCCAAACAGTCTACTCTTTTTCTGGTATTACGAAATGGCGCGTCTCGTAACCCCGGGGAAAATTACAGCTGCAATACCAATCTTAATAAGGCCTATAAGTGTTGTGTTAAATTCTGGGTCGTTGTTTTATTGAAATCTCAGAGGGTAAAGGGGTGTGATCAAACCAGCAGAACAGAATTCAGCAACACTTGGACGTGACGTGCGAGGTCCGAGACAGCGTAATAATCGGACAGAAGCTCTAAAAGAACGCATTTAGAAATCCCCCTTATTTAGTTGTGAAGCCAACCGAATTGCCGAACGCCTAGTAGATTCTAGCGAAGTCGAAAATATAACTGAATTCTCAGTGGCTAATCTCGGTTATGCCAACGAGGTTGACCAACAAAAAAGCAAAGTATTCGCAAATATTTTTGATCAGGATTATGTCTACCTTGTGTTTAAGGGTTGCGACCTTGAAACGTAGTCAGGCTTCCGGTAAACGGACAGAGAAAGGGCAATATTGCCATTCAAATTGATAGCGAGCAAAATTTTTCGCTAGCGGATGACAATATACCTAAGCTTGCAGAATTATCCAAAAAATAAGGCGGTTGTGTACCGGTCAGTCTTATGTAGTTATGTATGTTAGGCTACTTGTGTAGAATATAGACCAAAATCCGAGATGACCACAGGGTGACAAATATCCCCGAATAACATTAACAAGGTGCAACAACATGTGTTTTTCTATGTAATTAGTAGCTCGGGCTATTTCGGGCTCTATTTCGGTGGCTTTTCGCCCGGCTGCCGCGGGCAACATACGTTAGTGCTGGGGTTACTTTTTAAGTTAGGATTGGAACCAAGTTTAGGGTTACGAAACGCGAATATTTAGCCTTCCGACAATTTTGGGCGGGCCACCTGTAGTACCAGGGGGTTCCTGGTTCTATGCCTTACTGAAACGCGTCCCCATGAAAGTAATGCCATCTGCTTCGTAGAACGCGACGGAGAGAATGATTCAAAACCATCAACATGATGACTGGGTCAGGGTAGTTCTTGGATACCCGGGATTTGGCTTCATCTACTAAAAAAGGATGAATCAAACCCTCCTGATGGGCTGCCACACACCTCTACACCGTGTGTGTGATACCATAGTGCCTGCTGGTAAGGGCAGACATGGCCTAGCTTAGAAGTCGATGACAGTCAGTGAACACAGGGCTGGCAAACGCAAGCCCATTTTTAAGTAGAAACGATCCTGCACCCTGGGTGACAATACGGGCTTCAAGGAAACATGTAGGCGGAGAAAGCTTGCAGATGGAAGTTTTCATGAACATTAATAAAATTAAAGGGCACTTTTTGGCCAATACATACCTTCTCCAGGACAATGGATACAAAGGGAAAGATGAAGAGAACATTTTTGTGTGCCAGAAGAAGTTCAGCAAGCATCAACATTTCTGCCACAAGAGTCTTTCCACCACTTGTAGGAAGGCTGTAGATAAAATTGGACTGCCTGTGCTCGGCAGTCCTGTTGAGGCATTCTGTTTGCCAGTCTGAAGGGAACAAAAAAGGTGCATTACCGTTTGCTTGACTGTAACCTAGTCTCCAAATTTCCCCCCCCC